TAATTATAAAGACAGTGTTTATTAAAATACATTTCATTTTCAAAATTGAGCTATCAGCTGTTAAGGTGTGTATATATAATTTTGGGGCACCCTGTACATATACTTAGTAAGTCTCCTATGATTATTTTTCTTGTACCATTTGGTAGTTTTCTTTTCATCTCTCTGAGTTTAATTGTTTCATGAGCTTTTTATTTCAGAATTATTCAGAGTTAAATGGATAAGACCAAAAGAAATGTCTTTCTTTGTTTTTTGTTTTTTTTTTAAAAAAAGACAGCCTTTTATTAGATCTAGTCAGACTTGAGGCTTGTTATCATTTGCAAGGTAACGTGCTTTGTCGCTCAATTTTAGGCTTAGCATGTTAACTCATGCCAGGTATCCCCATATACCAAAAGAACATTCAACATTCTTGCAATTCAGACTGTGGAATGAAGAGATTTATGCATAGCCACTATCAAGATTCTATAGGCCCAAGCGGTGTGGCTCAGTGTTTGAGTGTTAACCTATGAACCAGGAGGTCAAGGTTCAATTCCCGGTCAGGACACATGCCTGGGTTGGGGACTCAATTCCCAGTGTGGGGCATGCAGGAGGCAGCCTATCAATGATTGTCTCTCATCATTGATGTGTCTATCTCTCTCTCCCTCTCCCTTCCTCTCTGAAATCAATAAAAATATGTATATTAAAAAAAAGCATTCTGTAGGACTTTTGTCAGTGTTTTGTTGGGCATTACTTGAGCCACTAGGAACACATATTTTCCTTCACAGCAGGTTATTCAGACTTAGCTTGAAAATTTCAGAAATACATATTCTATGTCACACTGAAGCCAGGAAGTAAATGAAAATAGCAGTTTGATATACCTAAGATTTGTGGGTTAGAAAATGTGATCGACTTTGGACTACCTAATATCCAAGTAGGTGTCTATGAATTTATACAACTACCTCTGTAGATTCACTTTGACCCATTCACTACTTTGATTTATTAGTAATACTGTCCAATCAGTCTCACTGAAGTTCCTATTTCTCACCCATGCTGGGGTTGTGGCAAATAATGTTTTAGTCCTTTGTCAGTGATCTTTGTTTTCAGGAAGACTATTGTATAATACAGATTACATGAATGAGAATTCTGACTTGGAAACTGGTTTCCAGTACTTTGGAGGATCAGCTTTAATTTCTCACTTGTGAACCATATCCTATCATTATTATGGGCCAATAAAAGTTTACTGATTATAAAGCATTCATAGGTTATGTTCCCTATTTTTCAAAGGAGGCATTTGAAAGTAAAGGGAGTTTGCTGCCAACTGCAAGCCCGACATATTTCTCCCTTAGATTATCACATTAATGTATTGTATTTTAAACTATTTTTCTCCAGCCGGGACCGGTTTGGCTCAGTGGATAGAGCGTCGGCCTGCGGACTGGAAGGTCCCAGGTTCGATTCCGGTCAGGGGCATGTACCTGAGTTGCGGGCACATCCCCAGTGGGAGATGTGCAGGAGGCAGCTGGTCGATGTTTCTCTCTTATCGATGTTTCTAGCTCTCTATCTCTCTCCCTTCCTATCTGTAAAAAAATCAATAAAATATATTTAAAAAAAAGAAATTGTGCTGTGTTAACTGTTTTTACTGTATCTCTATGAAAACTTGAATCTCAAGCAGATAGGATTCCCCTAGTCTTGATATCGCCATATATTTATCAGCATCGAAAGTGACATGTAGTTATGCTTATCCATGCAATTTTAACCATGCTTGATGTCTCTAAAGCTCTAAAAAATAGCATCAATATCATTGTGTGATTCCTAAGAATGAAGGAGCTGGAAATAATCTGTAGCCTGTTTGGACAGTGGAATAAT